CTTCTTTATCCTATCTAAATCTGAGAATGATATTGTCGAAGGAACTAAGTAGCGGGTCTGCCACTCCCACTCAATTCCAAAGGATCTTCGTTCCTTGAATAGAGGCGAGATAGGGACAGCCATCGAGAAATTCAGAGAGGGTAAAGAAGAAGAAGAAGTACGAGAATGGTGAAGCTTAAAGAATCAAAAAGAGACTCCGAAAATAGAAGGAACCAAGAAGATATAGCAAAGTCGTAAGGACAACAAACTTTAATGCAATAAAAGAGCACACAAGAACCAAAGTCGGCGAACGTTTGAGTTTTCCAATTAAAGAAGGTGGTTAAATCTTTGAAAAAGTAGTTGGGGAAGCAAAAAACAAAAAAATAAAATAAAATAGTCTGTTCACACAAGGTCAATAAGAGCTCGGACCCAGTAGTCTCAACATTTCCTTAATACTCCTCATCCATCTCACGTATTAACAGCCCTCGACTATCCAGCAGAAGTTTAGTACAATAAGCTGCAATGCAACTTGGGAGATTAACTTTGAGTTCATAATAGAACTTGGCAATCTTGGTAGACTTTCTGAGCTCAGTTGCCTTTCTCTGAAAGGAGCTCAGTGAGCCAGTACAACGGATTTGCTTTCAGAAAAACTCAGTTCTCCTCAAAGCAAGGAGGGCAAGGAGGGAATATGAAGTAAAACAGCACAACTCAAAGGCAAAAGTTAACAAAAGTTAAGGAGCTACTAGTTGTAAATATAATACAGAAAAGAGAAGCTGTGAATCAATTGTGCTTGTCAAAACAAAAAAGAGTTACATTTCAGAGTTACAAATTTTCCTCATTTTAAGAGCCCTAAGTTCCTGATGGGAGAGTAGTTGGAGGACTCTGTAGTTTAGTAGGAGAAGTCTCAACAGCAGGAGCAGGAAGGGAGTCTGGAAGTTCAGCAAAGGAAGTAACTGGCAAATCCTCCATTGGAGGCTCTAAGAGTAAAGAGGCTGGAAGCTCGGAAGTTGGAGTTTTTGTCAGCTCTGAGGAAGGCAGGGAAAAAGGAATCTCAGGAATTTCTGAGGCAGGGACCTCTGTAGATGGTGAATTCAGAGCCAGAGCTTGGGAGACGAGGTCTGTAAAGAAAGGGACAACCTCAGAAACAGGAGGAGGCATGGTGTTAATCTCAGGATTGGCCGCCTCAGCCCTCTCCTCAATGGGGGGATCAAAATTGAAATCTTGTCTAGGATAGAGCTCTTCAACTCTGTCTTGAAAGGCGAGCCACCTAGAGGCCTACTAAGTAGTGACATCATCAGCTAGCTTGGCAATCAAGCTATCTTTCTCCTTACCTGTTGCCCTCTCCACCTCGAGCTCTTCCTGAAGAATGTCATTTGTCTCAGCAAGGAGGTCGTATTCTCTTTTCATATTTTGGTAAGAGCTCAAAGCCTCAAGGGACTCCTGACTGACTTTGATCCATTCATCTATTTTCTGCTTGAGCTCCCCAAAGATCTTCCTGAGTTCCTCCTTAGTCTTTCTGGCCTCTTCCTTATAACTCTTGCCTTCACCCTCAATCCTCTCTTTTTCGGCCTCCAAGTCCCTGTTTAGGGAAGTCTGCTTCTCCACTTGCTCCTGTAAATCCTGAATCTGAGCCTTGAGGTTGTTATTTTCAAAGGACAATTCTACGACCTTAAGCTCGAAAGCCCTGGAAGCCTGAACAAAACCCTCTATATCCTAGATCCTTTTCAGTAGCCCGCTAATATGGATGGCCATCTGAGAGCAAACCCAACCCGGCAAAAGCTCAGATCAGAACGATCAAATAAAAAGAAACGTATACACATATATATAAGTATATACAACAAAGCCTACGGAAGTAGCAGCAAAGAGGGCAGTAGAAATATAACTCCCAAGTGGCATAGTGGAAGTCTGCTGGATGTCAGACTCGGGGAGGATGGAAGCGATGGCCTCTGCAGCTCGCTTTACATTATCAATCAGAGAGCTCGAGCTTGCCTTGGCACTCCCCCCTTTTTCACTCTTGCAAATCTTAGAAGGTTTCAGAGATGGTCCCTCTGAGGGACAAGGGGAAATAGTTCCAGGCAGAATGCGAGAAACCATCTCCAAAGCTCTCTCAACTCTACTGAAGAGGGAGAAGTGGGGGCAGATCTTGCTTAGGGGCCCCATTGGAAGGGGACAACCTAGTCTCCTGGGAGAGAGAGGTCTGTGCAGCCTTTGGGGAGATCGAAGAGGTTGGGGGCCCCACCGCGGTCACTTGAGGCGAAGTAGAGGTCACCTCCAGTCTTGAAACTTTGGAAGTTGAATCACTCCCAGATCCGGCCTCAGCCTTGTATTTGCTTCCACTCTTGTTCTTTCTCATCAAAGATAGCTTGACATTTCGATCCTTCGAAATTGGTTCCATCGAAGAAGAGCCTGGAAACTCAACGAAGAGCCAACATGAGAAAAGAAGAGAAGGGAGGAGACAACACGAGAAAAAGGGACAAGGGCGAAGTTGGAAAGGAACATCACCTGCTACCTCCTCAACTCTGACAATAGAGAGTAGGATGGGGGCTTCTACTGTTACCTCTGGAAGGCTGAACCTTTCATTTACTAGAACCCAAGACTTGATGAGTTCAGAATATTTTTCTGGTTTACACTTCTCCAACCTCAGCAGCACCTGTTCGTCCTCAACACTAAGCTCAGGTCGAACACCTGAAAAACAAAATAAGACAAGAAAAGGTCAGAAGGGCTCACCAAACCTCAGCTTGGATAGTTTGAGCAAGGACTTACCCAAGTTATCAGGGGCAAACCAGGCTCTAGGAATAGGGAGAGTATTTGTTTTGTCAGCCGAATTGTACTCCCAGTGTTCTCCCCACACGAAGAAGAAAATTTTCCTCCAACCCTTATGGGAGTTCGGGAGGTCAGAAATAATTTGTTTAGCCTTTACCCGTTTAGAAACGTACAAGAAGCCGTCGGTAGGGGTATACTTAACATTGAAAAGTTCCATTAGTAAGGAGACAATGGAAACACCGAGCTTGTGTAGCTTGAAGAAAACAAGGAGACCCACCAGCACATCCCAGAAGTTAGGAGACAGCTAAGCAGGACAGACGTTGAAATGTTGAAGAACACTCTTGACAAAAGCGTGTAAGCAAAAGCGTAGATCATTTTCAAAGGCAGCAATAAAAAAAGAAAACCCTCTTATGGACCTGGGAGACATATGGGGTAAATTTATCAAGGCACCAGAACTGAACTCTTGAGGAAAAACCGTAGCGAACACTAAGGACCTTCATTAGAGGTGGGCTGACCTCACTGGAGCCTGCGAGCTCATCAGCTCTAAAGGCAGCCCCTGCACCCTCAGCACTGCCTGAGACACCGACTCCTCTTACCTTAGTCTTGCCCTTACTAGAATCTCTGGGCGCGAGGGGACAGGTAGGGGAGTTTCCTCGGTATTTCCCTCGGCTTCAACAGAATCAACCCCTGGGAATTTGTCAATTTTCTCACCTACCTCGCCTAAATTCGAGGTGTCCTCAGCAGTCCTATCCCCTAGAAGGGAAACAGAGGAAGGGGTGACTTTAGAAGAGGCAGACATTGTGGGACAGGAAAAAGGGAGTCTAAAGGTACGATAGAGGAGAAGAATATTTGCGAAACACTCCCTAAGGGTTTGGGGAGCAACACAACAACTCCCAATAAGGAAGACCCTAGCGGTCGAATAAGGATCCAAGAAAAGGGGAATTCGAGATAGCGATCGATCTCGGTTTCTAAAATAGCAAAATAGAAGAACCACCTCAAATCTGAGGGATCCAGAACAAAGAGACAAACAAAGGGTAAAAAGCGTACCTAGGAGAGGAGTAACAGTAGGCCAAAATCAGAATTGGGGGCAAAGAGCGAATCTCGTCGAAACCTCGGATTGAATCAGGGAAAATTGTTTCCTCAGCGGAACCCTAGTGGTACCAACATAATCGAAAGATTGGAAGTCGCAAGAAGAAGAGAGGGGAAAATGCAAAAAGGGAGTTCAAAGGATGAAATGAATCGTTCCCCTCAATTCTGAGGCATTTAAAGCTAACGGTACAAAGTGAAAAACGTGCACAAGAAAGTAGTAAATGAAATGATTATCTGAAATCGTTAAAAACCTGTTCGCATGCAAATCGAGGTCCACATTTGGAGGTCAGCCCTGATTAGGCCTCAGCTCAGCTCAGCCCCTACCCAAGTTCACTTGGGATAAGGGCTGGAGGGCAACTGATGATACTCAAAATAATTTTCAACCATGGGATCGAACCAGGGGGTCAGATCAAGAGGTCAAGCCAAGAGGTCAAACAAATAGGTCTGGATAAGAAGTCAGGAAAGGTGCGTAGAGCTCTAGTCAGAGCTCGATTTCCCCTACCCAGACGCGCCAACAGCAGAAGTGATAAGGAGACAGCTGGATGATAACAGAAATATGTTAGGTGGCAAAGAGTCATCCTCAAGACATAAAATCCTTAACCAGCCAAGATTCTCTCCTAAGATTAAGGAGAAATCCTCGGATAAATAGTAAGGATCTCAATGCAGATCCCATAGAACTAGGAATAGCCCTATAAATATAAATATTATGTAACTCTCCCAAGGCAAAGGGGGACCCAAGTAATGTAAACTATATTCTGTGAATTCTCTAAAGAAAGAAAAAGAGAAAATGAGCGAGAGTCTCCATTAAAGAGTGGACTAGCTGAACTCCTGCGCTGGTGAACCACTATAATTTCATTGTGTCAATTCCCCAATTTCCCACTAATACTAGTCTTCACTATTTCGAGCCTCCAAGCTTAGATCCTAAGAGCCAAATATAGATCATTCAATTTGCTCATAAATCTACACCACATTGATTATAACCATCAATCATGAAGATTTTTAATCTTAGTTGTTCCTACATAAATGCCATGAGAAGATAAAAGCTAATTTAGCCACTCAAATTAAAGCAATTGATCATAGAAACACTAGTTTGATATTTCGAAGCAAACTCATTAAGTTCATTAAGATTCTAAGTATAAAATTTTCCATCCCCGAGGAAAATAATGTTTTCATGAAGTAGTGATGCTTTCAGAAGCAGGGAATACTTCCTCGATGGCTGATTCAGTCGGGGCACAGTCTGGAACAAAGAAAATCAAAACTCCAGGCAAAGACATGTATCAGTAATATAAATCTTCCATTTTTTGTAAATCTTTCATTCAAATAGGTTGAAGTCTAAGACTTCATCTCCTTCCCTGCACTGACCCAAGTTAATGTTGTTTACGTGTAGACTCTTTGGGTAATTGGACATACACAATTCAAGGTGATGTGATTGTAGGCTATTTTTTCTTTTGGAAAATTAGAACCTGGTGTGTGGTGGACCAGTGTTTTCAAAATATCTTGATGGTAAACCTTCAAACCATGGGCTCTCGAGTAAATGTTTGACCATGGTTAATTATGTTTTATACATGTCGGTAAAGTACCATTTTCTTCATCTTTACAAATTTCGTATTCTATGTGAATTTGTGGCAATGGATTCCTGAAACTCTTAAGTCGAAGGTTGAGATGAACTTTTAGCATATGGCAAGCGATCCTATTATGCAAGTGGGAAGTCGAAGTTGACAGTTTAGCTAATTTAGCATTTTCCAACAGGTTGATTGTAGCAAAAGATAAATTAGAGAGAGCCTGCATGCAGGAGACAACACAGTTCATGGTTTATGCCCATTGACCAACATTTAGCTGTGGCGCATAGACTACTTTTTGTAAAATTACTGTTAAGTGTGAAAATATAACACTACGAACAATCACAGTGGCCTATTGTTAGCGGACCGGCATCTATGGGCAGGAATATGCAGTTCCTCCACAATTATCACGATTTCGCTAGTTTGTGTGTATGATTAGGAGGTTATATTGAGGTTGTTCGGACAGCCTAAAGCCTGCCTAGTCATCTATAATTGTCACATATTTAAGCTCTTTAAATAAGTGTAACTTCCAATTGTAGAGCACACCTCAATTCATGATAATGGCTACCAAAGAATAGGTTAGCATTCACTCTAATTCGAAGACTAGGCAAGAAAATGTTTGTCATATGTAATGCAATAGTTTCTGTACTTGACACAATATTCACATGCAGCAAGTGGTTGTGTAGTAAGTACATGGCCAATACAGGTTGCAAGTGCATATCCAAGCCTTGAGGTTTAAGTGTGACTCATCAATGGTATTTTAGCGGTGCTGTGGATTACTTGAGACTCTAACAACGATAAAGGAAACTATAGGTGATGGCCAATCTTTCACAGTTGGCCGCTGTCCAGGGTTGGAAGTTAATTTAGCAGGGACCTTCACTTAGTTTACCATAAAGTGGTACACTACTAGCACCCCTCTTCTTCGTGGTGAATCCTGTCTCTTGCCTTTTCTTCAAACTCATGTAAAAACATTTTGGAAAAGCTAGTGGAACCCATTTTCAGTTTCAACACATTCATAGTGGGGAAGTGAATTTTTAAAGCGAATTTTCTGTCTTTTCTTTACCAGATATGTTTGTTCTAGTTATGCCTTGCCAAAAATACAACAGGACAGTTGATAATAGTTGCTCACCTGGAATAGGAACTACATCATCCCCCTGATGAAGAACCCATGCAATTGCAAGTTGAGCAGGGGTGCATCCGTGTTTTTTAGCCAACGCTTCTAACCGAAGATAAATGGTCTTGTTCTTTTCAAAGTTCTGTCCTGTAAACCTAGGATGTGTTTCCTAATATAGGGAAAAATTTAGTCATTTATTCCCAAGTTTCTTCAAATAAGAGGAGCAAGGAAAAATCGAAATGAATTCAACTCATAACAATGCCTTTCATCAAAGAAGTTAATGAAATCAATGAGAATCCAAATAGGAAAGCCCAGAAAACAAACCAGTTTCATACCAAGAAACTATTTGGAGGTAGAATTTCCACAACTGCTTTGCCAGCAAATAATCCACGACCAACGGGGCTGTATGACACTAATCCAATTCCAAGTTCCCTGATCATCAAAATTTTCAGTTTACAACACTAAAAGATAAAAAGGAAACATGTTGCTGGGGATTTGAAGGGATTTGAAGTATAGAGAAAAAGAGAAACAGCTGGAGACTTGTAATGATAACTCCCAGGAAGAAGAACTCTTATATTTAGTCACAGAAAATTAATCTCATATCTGAAACAACGGTTCTCCAGAGATACTCCTCTTTGTAAGTCAAGTGGTTATTATAACATAAAAATACATGCAAATGGACACCCAAAACATTTTTAGTTGAGAATTTAACAAGCTCAAAACAATGTTTATTGCAAGAATTCTGGATGGAATATGAAGAAACCTGTAAAGTGGGATAATTTCTTCCTCAATATCATGAGTCCAGAGAGAGTACTCCATTTGTAAAGCAGTTATAGGACGAACTGCATGTGCCCTCCTTATTGTGTCTGAATTAGCTTCGGAGAGCCCAATGTATCTAATTTTACCTTCTTCAACCAATTTTTTAAGTTCCCCCATCTGCCCTTAATAAGAAAATCAAGTTCCCGTTGGCAGAAAAATTTTCATCATTTCAATAAAACTATATTACCGAAAGAAATACAACTAATTAATATGATGGCAAATATGAAAGAAAAAAAGAACAGGCAAAGCTCAAGACTTCAATGTTTACTGAAGAAACCTAAAAAAGAAAGAAAGAGAAAGAACTAAAACACTTACAGTCTCCTCAATCGGTACTGTTGTGTCAATTCGGTGGACATAGAAGAGATCAATGTATTCCAGCCGAAGGCGCCTTAGGCTAGTCTCACAACAGGAGCGGGCATATTCGGGAGTCCCTTTCACTACAACAAGAGTGGGGTCAAATTTGAAAACACCAAACTTTGTCGCTAACTGAATCTTTTCTCGAGGCAACTGCTTTAATGCCTGCAAAATGTGGTTTCTACTAAGATAGCAATCCATTTGGCAAACAAAAAGCTTATCTTTCTTTTTAAAATAACAATCAAATGATCATATCTGAAAAGGCAGACCAAGGTACAAATTAAGGAAAGATTAATGCATATCATCCTTAAAATACTATTATCTAAGTAGTTGGGATAAAGTTTTGTTGAGTTCGATTGAATATGCGAAGATTACTACACAGATGAAAAACAGAAACACCGTGTTTAGGTCCAGATCACATTCTTACATGCAACTGCACTTACTCCCCGTTTTAAACTTAGATTTCATTTGTTCTCCACAGATCTCAATTTTTTATGCTGGTCCCAATGATGTAATGGACAGCACAACTGTCATGATTATTGAGATTTTCTCACCAAGCAACATCCTATTGTGATTTATGGAGAATATGTCCAAAGCAAGCTTCTAGTTGTTGACCACAAGCTATCTCTTAGGGATTTCCCCAGGAAGACAAAATTTATATAGACATCTCATGATAATGGCATTATGAAAAAATTCTAGCAGTGAGGTTTGTTTAGTGTAGAATATGTGGCAAAAGCTTGGGAAGAACGAGACATTTACCCAATCCAGAGAAACTACTTTAATTTCTCTGATCCCCAAGACCCCCCACCCACCAGGGGAAAAAAAAACCAAACAAGTATATTTGTGTACTTCATTTTCTTTTGTGGTCCCTCAGATGAAATAAATAAAGGCAAGGTGCCACTTAATGGAAAACATAACCTGCTGTGAAACCGTAAAAAGTCAAGGTACCACATGTTCATAGCATGAAAACATCCGTGTTGCAAAAGGCTTCATTTGAGTATATGAAACCTAATGGCAAGTGCAGAAAAGAGAAAATATCTTATTTTTTTGTGGAGTTTGGTTACAGAGAAATAAAAAATTTGCACTGCGGATGACTGCACGAAGCCAAATTTTACTAGCGCTTTGGTTTATTTTGGTTTCTTACAAAAAACACGGGAATCATTATTCCCAAGAAAACTCTCCACCAAAATTATGGTTTCCTGCTTTGTCCACTCTCGGCTAGTCTCCATTTACCATAGGCCCAGCAATAAAAACAAAAAGAAATTGCACAGCTTACAACTGGAAACAGGGAATTTGCTATGTTATATTTTAAGGGTATTTTTGTATTTGTGACGTGACTAATGCTATTTGGATCGTGGGTCTCTTTAATATATGGTATATGTATGAGAATGCGATACAATAATTTTTTAAGTATACGGTACAATAGGGGGCTTAACTAGTCCACTATTTTGGCTCACAATTTATTTTAGAACTTTTATCTAAATTATTTTCACTATTATAAAATATTATATATCACAAAATATTCATAAACACTATGTCAATTACTATTTATCTTATATTTGTACTTGATTTTCTATTATCTAAAATAATATATAATTATAAATCTATACATATGTAATTAATTAATATGTATTTCATATTTGTGGTACATATTCTATAATGAATTAATTTAGGATTAGTATTATAATTTAGAATTATACATTTTGATGATCTGAATAGCAATAGCGAACTCACCTTGCTTGAGATCAATATAACCGAATCGTGGATAGTTAGAAGTTAAGTTAACTCTGGTAACTATGGATGTTACCATATATAAAACCTAAGGGTAATTGTGTAACCCTAAGACACACTACTCTCTTCTCATAATTTTCTCCTCTCTTCTTCTTCTGTCTAAAAACCGTAATGACTTCCTAATTTAACTTGGTATCAAAGCATCGATCGAATCTAACGTGTCAAAGTTCTCGAAATTCTTCAGAAATTACATCACATAACCTGCAGTGGACAACATCAACAAGCGATCTCCTCAGAATTTTTTGAAAATTTCTGGAAAGGTTCAACTTGGATTACTAAGTATTATGGTGATTTTTCTGAAATTTCTTGATGTCATCTAGCTGGTCTTTTGATTTTTTGAAAGATTCCTTAGAGTTTTTGGCTTTTTTTTCAGATATGCTATTTTGGGGTAATTAGAAGTTTGTTTTGGACCAACCCTAGTTGATGAGGTGCGACTGAGCCATACAAATAATGCTCAGTCATTTTTGTTGCCTTTGGATTGAATTTATGCAAGTTTTTAGCATTTTTAGGTGCCGGTATGCCTGTTTTGGGTTATCCAGTGAGGTTTTTAGCCTCCAATTGTTTTCCACAAGCTATTTGGTCCCTTGATTGCCTCTAGATATTATGCTTGGTGTATTTAGCCTCTGTTGGACAAATTTTCTGGTTGTGATCCAATCCTTGGGTGTTATTTCTAGTTATTTTGTGTTGGTGTTATTGCGTAAACATGTCGGAAGGTAATGCGACGTCTCCTAATTTGGGGCAAGTACAAGAAGAAGTGGGTTGAGCCGTTTTGATGCTCTAGCAAACAACCCTTCAAATTAATCCAAAAAAGTTGGATGGGAGTAACTATTTGGCGAACTTGTTTATTATCAGTCCAAGCTATTGTGTTGAATGGATATTTGACTTGGGAGACTCAAAAGCATAGTGAATCTGGTACCTCTTCAAAGTAGTGGACTTCCAAAAATGCTTTGGTTATATCTTGGTTGCTTAACTCAATGCAATCCAAGTCACGGTTTTTTGTTACTTGATATAAAACATAAGATTTGGATAGCCGTGGCTCATACGTATTCTCAACGAGTCAACAATTCTAAGGCATATGATCTTCGTAAGAAAGTCTGGGATACTAATAAGAAAGATAAGACCTTTGCAGTTTATTATACAGAGTTAATCACCTTGTTGTAGGAGCTTGACTTCAACCAGAGTTTCAAAGCATATTGTGTTAATGATGCAGTGAAATTTCAGCAGATGGTGAATAAGGAACGAGTGTATACTTTTTTGCTGGACTTAATATTGAGTATGATTAGATTCAGGTTCATATTTTAGACCCTAGTCCATTTCCCACTTTACAAGATGCCTATGTCTATGTTTAGCACGAGGAGAGCCGGAGGATTTCTATGATTTATGTTCCTACTCAGGAACAACCTGTATTAGTTGTTATTTCTCAGCGTGACTTGAGTTTAGCCTTGCCTAAGTTTGTTGAGACAAGTGACACTAGTGCAAAGGATACTTTAAAATATGACTATTGTGGTAAGACTATACATACTCGGGAACTTTGTTGGAAACTGACTAGACGTCCTACGTGTGGCGGATGTGGTAATGTGCGATCTCATGGATACACGATGGAATCCTCAAAGTCTCTATCTTAGTCTACTCCCTCTAATTTTTCTCAAGATAAGATGCAAACTTTTAAGCGTCTAATGACTCAACTTAATGTTCCCTCTATTACTGTTGTTGCCTCCTCTTCTTCTAATTTTGCTCATACAGGTATATCTACTAGTGTGTTTAGTGCATCATATTAGAGATAAAGACAAATCAGGTGAAGTGATAAGGCAAGACAAGGACTCTACAGGGGCTGAAGTGATCAAGCAAGACAAAGACTCTACAGAGATTATCAACTCTGCTGAAGTGATCAGGCAATCTCCTCTCATTTGTTCAAACGATCAGCAGTTCAAGGATCATATCACTTGATCCAGTTAGTTGGAGAGATAAGTCAAAGGGATGGGATTTTATATTTAAACTTGTGGATAGAGAATTATTTGTTTGTAACACTTTGTCTATATATATTGAAGACCTCTCCTCTGTATCTTTAAGTTGATAAACAGAGGTTCTACATTTTTTTTGTGTTGTTCAGTTTCTTTATGGTATCAGAGCCTATAAAGAACCTCCAAAAACAATGGCCTCTTCTCTCTCTCTTGAAAATATCCCTCAGCTCTTAGCCATGATCAACGTCAAACTCACAGCAAGAAACTGTCTCATTTGGAGAAGCCAAATTCTTGACCTTGTCATTGGAGCTGAGCTTCATGATCACTTAAACAGTGATGTGCAACACCCAAAGCCGGTGATAACAAATGAAGAAGGAAAGGAAGCTTGCAACCTATAATACAAAGCATGGAGACAAACTGATCGATTGTTGAAGAGCTTAATCTCTGGAACAGTATCCGAAAATATACTCAGTCATATAATTGGTATGAATTCAGCACTTGAGGTATGGTCTTTTTTAGAACAGAGCTTTGCTTCCACCTCTGAAGAAAGGGAATTCAATTTATATCGTGATCTTCAACAGATTCGTAAGGAAAATAACGAATCCGTAACAGATTTTTTGTCTCGATTTAAACAAATTTGTGATGCACTTTCTGCTATCAAAAATATTCTGACTGATTCTGATAAAGTGATGTGGGCAATGAACGGACTCGGGCTAAAATTTGATCCACTTGTCAACGCCATTATGGCAAAACCTCCTTTCCCATCCTACTCACAATTCGTTCAGTCATTGACAGGGTATGAAACCAGGAACAAATTGTATCCAAACAATGATAAACTCAATGATTTTCAAGCCCTAGTGATGCAGAAACATCAAAGTGGACATGGAGGTTCTCACAGTTCACAAAAGTATAAGGGAAAAAATGTCCCTTTTAATTTTAAGGGTCGTGGATTCACACAAGCACAAGATCGGACTCAAGGAGTCAAGAACTTCAGCCCTTCCACTCTGGATGCCAAAATCAATCCCATTCACGGATCCTTGCAAGCAAACGGTTGCCAGATTTGTAGCAAGACCAATCATTCCACTCCAAATTGCTATCGGATTCCATGCCAAATTTGTAGCAAACAAGGACATAATGCCTTGAATTGATACAATAGATATAATCATGCTTTTCAATCTGATGAAATTCCACAAGCCCTTGCTGCTATGCAAGTTACTAATCCCAGCGATCCTGAGTGGATACCAGACACAGGAGCAACATCGCATATGACTGGTAATGCAGGTATATTACAAAATCTTGAACCATATAATGGTCATGATTTAATAACCGTAGGAAATGGAGAAAGTCTACCTATTATTCACATTGGTTCTTCTTCTATAACTACAAATCTTGGGAAGTTAAGAATTAATGATGTGTTATTGGTTCCAAATCTCACCCAAAATCTGTTAA